CCCCCCCCCCGCCCCCGGGGCTCCCGCCGGAAGCCAGGCTTGGGGAGGGAGGCTCGGGTGTGAGCTGGGGGCCTGCCCAAATCCGGACTCCCAGACAAGGTAGAGCTGAGCCCAGGGCCCCCAGGCCGGTGGCCTGGTGGAGAGAGCCCAGCGCGGCTGCCAGGAAAGCACTTCCTGGGTGTCTGGATCTTGCTGGGTCTCAGCGCATGGAATCAGTGAGGAGGGCACCTCTCTGAGCTTTGGTTTCCTCCTCGGGAAAATGGGAATAGTATGCCAGCCTCGTAGGTAGGCTGCATTTAGAAGGCCTGGTATTCAGTGGAAGGCCCCTACGGTTACTGTGTTGACTGTCTAGACCCGCAGCTGCAGCAGCAAGGAGCGGGGTGCCGCTCCAGCACACTGCTCAGGCCGCACTTATGTATCATTTGCTGTGTGCTCAGCCCTGGGAGAGGAGAGACCAGCAGCCCTTACCCTGGGCATGAGGCTCAGAGTCTGGTCAGAGAAACATTTACTGGGGGCCAACCAGGATGCAGAGGATTCGAAGGCAAGGGGGCAGGTGCTTCCCAGCCAGCCGCACCCCCGCCCAGCCCAGGCACAGACAGTAGGCTCCACCCCGCGCCCGGGGTCAGTCCCGCCCTCTGCGTCTGACTGGAGGTCACGTCAGCGGCTCCTGGAGACTTGACCCGGAACTGAGCCCTCCTCCTGCAACCGCCTCCCAGCTGGGGTCAGGGCTGTGCTCCAAGTCTCTCCAGCTCGCTCCGATCTTCCTCGGCTTAGCAGATCTCACGGACCACCCCCTAAACCTCAACAAACCTGCCTCCGGGCCTCGGGGTCCGGGGGCCTCGCACCCGCTAAGCCTCCTCTGGGAAGCCCCCCGGTGAAGTTCCTGACTGGCCAGAGTGGGTACTAAATGGGCTGTTGGAGCACCCAGCCCGGGGGGGAGGTGACCTTGAGCGGCCGGATGACCCGCTGCCCTTTGGCCCTGGACTCCTTTTAAATGTAAGTTACAGCCCAACAAGTGCCGGCCCTGTGTAAATCCTTCACGTGGATTTTCTCGTTTCATCCCCTGGGAGGTGGCGACTGTGAATAACCCCATTTTGCAGAAGAGGAAATTGTGAAAGCAGAGCTGCTCCCCATTCTAGTGTGTGCTGTGGTCTCTGAATGCAGCGTCACTAGGGATACAAGCCACTGGCTTCTTTCGCCTTCCCCACTTTGTGTTACAGTACGTGTTCCATCAATGCTCACTGGAGAGTGACCCTGCAGAACAGCCCTGCAAGGGGACCTCACCTGCCCTCCAATCACTCCCCTCCCCCAAATGTCTCCACTCCTGCCTCCACATGTCTCCACAGCTGCCATTTACTGGACACCTACTGTGTGCCAGGTTGTGGGATCTGGTGCTATTTACCGTAAGACCGTGGTTCCTACTTCACACAAAATAAACAGGCTGAGAAAGAGGGACCCAAGAGCTCATACGTCTGTCTGGCACCCAACGGCGGGTTTCTAAGAACCTTGTCTCAGAGCCCCATCAACAAGACCTGCCTCTGGACTCTCAAGCCTCCCCTCCTGTGGTTTTTGTCCCCAAACCGGGTCCTTCAATCGGATACCCTCACTCACCTCCCACAGGAAGCCTCCCCTAATTCTCTCAGTCCCTCTCGGAACTCCTGTAATTTCTATCACTTCGTGCAAATTACTATCCTGTTACGCCAGCGGCCCAGCCACCCACCCACATATGCCCCAGGGTCCCAGCAGAAGCAGCAGCGATAATAAGAAGCACCCAGGAGGGGCATCAAATTTCTACCTCCCTGACCCAGGACCGTAGACCTCGAGGACCCGCACCGAAAGCCCAGACCCCAGATGCAGGGCTTGCTCCCCTTCCCGGGCGCAGTTCCAAGCGCAGCCACCAGATGGCGCCCGGCTCGCTCTAGCGGGGCTTGCAGTAAAGCTGTGCGGCCGCCAGATGGCGTTCGAGACCGCAGTTCTGCGGGCAGTACCGGGACAAGGCGGAGACTAGAAGGCAGGCGGGTTCCAGTGCGGGCGCAGAAGCCCAAGCCAAGTGACCTGGACGTCGCTCCCTCCTGGCCGCACCATGATCCAGCCCGCACCCCGGCTCTCTGTGCCCGCCGCGTTGGTCCTGGGCTCCGCCGCGCTGGGCGCCGCCTTCGCCACCGGCCTCTTCCTGGGTGAGTAAGGCGGGGCCTGCGGCACCTCCCGCAGAGCCCCCGCAGGCGGGGCAGGTGCGGGAGCGGAGCCCGTGACTCCGCGAGGCTGGCTGAGGCTGAAGCTCAGCCCTGGCGCCCCGGAGTCCCAGACCCTGACCCAGGACCCCTCCCCGTCAGGGAGACGGTGCCATCCGGAGCGATCCCGGCGAGAGAAGCGCCTGCTGCCCCCTGAAGACAGCCCCCTCTGGCAGTATCTGCTGAGCCGCTCCATGCGGGAGCATCCGGTGCTGCGGAGCCTACGGCTGGTCAGCAGGGCCAGGGGCGGGAACAGGCGCCCACTTCGGACCCAGCGGGCCCCACGTGCTTGTGTGACCTTGGGCTGGGCCTTGGAGCTCCCCGGGCTTCCGGGACACCGCAGGCGGGGCGCGGTGGGCGTTCCCTGAGGGCCAGTCCCCCTAGGCCACGCCCACAGCCGCGCACCTGGAGGGGGTGTGAACACGGGGCGGAGCTGGGTGACTGGCAGTGGTGGTGCGACCCTCTCCCCTCCACCACCGCGACACAGCTGACCCTGGAGCAGCCGCAGGGAGATTCCATGATGACCTGTGAGCAGGCCCAGCTTCTGGCCAACCTGGCACGACTCATCAAGGCGAAGAAGGCGCTGGACCTGGGTAGGGCGCACGGCTGGGACCACTGGGAGCCTAAGTCATCAAGATGTCCCCCATTCTGGCCTGAGCCTGTCCATGTCCCTGCCCATAGGCACTTTCACAGGCTACTCAGCCCTAGCGTTGGCCTTGGCGCTGCCCCCGGCCGGGCGCGTAATAACCTGCGAGGTGAACCCGGAGCCTCCGGAGCTGGGGCGGCCCCTGTGGAGACAGGTGAGTGTCCCGCACATTTGAGGCCCTCGTCAGGCCCTTGGAGCCTGACCACTCCCAGCCCTAGGAGAAGGGACCTGCTGGCTGTGACCCCACTCCTTCCGCAGGCTGAGGAGGAACACAAGATCGACCTTCGGTTGAAGCCCGCCCTGGAGACCCTGGGTGAGCAACGGAGTAGAAGGGGCCTTGGCACCATTTTCTAAGTGGGACGACTGGGCGTGAGCTAGTGACCAGGTCTGCTGGGCGGGCTTGAGGCAGTGACAGTCCCCTGCTTCCTGGCCTCACCTATGCGGCCACATGCTGGGTGGCAGGGCGCCCCTCCAGACCAGAGTCCCTGAATGGTCACAGCACCTGGGCAGGCCTGGGCAGGGGCTTCTGACCACCTGGGCTGCGGACTCAAGACCTATCTTACCCCCCGCCCCCGCCCCTCCCTCAAGACGAGCTCCTGGCCGCGGGCGAAGCTGGCACCTTCGACGTGGCCGTGGTGGACGCGGACAAGGAGAACTGTGCCGCCTACTATGAGCGGTGCCTGCAGCTGCTGCGCCCTGGAGGAGTCCTCGCCGTCCTCAGTGTAAGGGATAGACTAGGGGGAGAGCCCTCCTGGGCTGGGTCTCCGTCTTTTCCCTTGGCTCCTTCCTGTGCCCCGCCCCCATGCCACAAAGCCCCGCCCAGTGCTTTCTCCCCCTGGGGTCCTGTCTCCAGCTCTCACCCCTCCTCCTGCTTAGGCACCTCCTCCTCGGCCCTGTCCCTCCATGATGCCCCGCCCCTCCGCAGGTCCTGTGGCGCGGAGAGGTGTTACAGCCTCGACCGCGGGACACCGAGGCCCAGTGCGTGCGGAACCTGAACGAGCGCATCCTGCGGGACGCCAGGGTCCACATCAGCCTTCTGCCTCTGGGCGACGGCCTCACCTTAGCCTTCAAGATCTAGGGCTGGCCCCCCGAGAGTGGCCTCAAGTGAGGGGACCTGGGTACCCCAGACATCAACCCTGAGTTCTAAATTCGACAATAAAGTGGGGCCTGGGACAAGATCTTCTCAGCCTCCGTACGTGGCTCTAACGTGGGGTAGGGAGGGAGGGCCCAGCACTGGCAGGTTCTTCAGCAAAAGGGAGCCTTGAGGTCATAGGCGTCATCCCCTCCGTGGCACTGTCCTGAGGACCACGTGGCACCAGGGCTAAAGCCTGAGTAGGAGCCTCCAGCTGACGGGAGGCAAGATATAATAAAGTTTTGATTGACCTGGCCACATACAGTTGCTCAGAGATCCCAGCTCTTGGGATTTGCCTCCACTCCATAGGATGCTGGCTAGAGCCCCACCTTGGTCTCCCTCCTACTTAGCTTCCTAGGAGGGTCAAGTGAATGAAGCTCTTGTTTGGCGCAGCTGGGACTGGTTGGGAGACCATAGCTGGAGTCTGACAACAGGAAACAGACCCTACAGCTGACCAGGTTTGTGGCTGGGTACTTTCACAGGTTATGCTGGTTCTGCTATCTGCCCATGTTTTCACAGCACTGTCAGCTCGATCTCACCTCTACAGTGGAGGCTCTGGTCAGTGGACATCACTTCTGAAAACCAGGCCACTTGACTTAGACCTGAGGACCACGAGGTTGGAGTATATATCCTGTCCTCCCCCTGAAGTCCTGGAGAAAGGTGAGGGACTGAGTGGGATCACTGACCAGAAAGGTGTGAAGCAGGCCAACAGGTAGGAGGAGACCATCAGTACTGCGGTTTTAAATAAGTTCCCCAGAGGAAGATGAAGATACGGTTAGGCTGTCCGGCACCAACATCTACGAGCTGAGGTGGAGGGAAGCCAGGTGCTTCACTTCTCTCATCTAAACCTCCCTAATCCTAATCCCCTAGGAAGATATCTCCAGGCCACAGATGAAGTGTTCTTCCCACTAACACTGCCTCAGGCAGAAATGGCATCAGCCTAGAAGACAATCAGGTTTTGCCACCACTTGGTTAGGCCTGGGTGCTGCTATGAGGCTGGAGGCTACTAGAAACAAGGCCACAGGAGACCATAACAGGCAACTTTCTTAATCCTAAACTTCTTGGTACGTACATTTTAACCCACAGGGCTCTGGGTATGAACCAACCCTTGTCTCTCCACACATTAAAGCCTATTAAGGTTGCACATGGGGAAGGGGCGCCTGGGTGGCTCAGTCGGTTAAGCGTCTGACTTCGGCCCAGGTCATGATCTCATGGTCCGTGGGTTCGAGCCCCGTGTCGGGCTCTGTGCTGACAGCTCAGAGTCTGGAGCCTGTTTCAAATTCTGTGTCTCCCTCTCTCTCTGCCCCTGCCCCATTCATGCTTTGTCTCAAAAATAAATGTTTTAAAAAAAAAAAGATGCACATGGGTGAACAGGCCCAATTTACTCTTAAATAGATCTTTGACAAACTGGTAGCTCACTTGTGCCACACCCAGTCCTGAGTACTGGACCAGGTAAACACAACATGAGGGAAGGCCACTGGTTAACTAAGGGGCAGCAGGTCATCCAGGAGGCTTCAGGGGTCGCCAGGCCTGTGACCAGTTCCTTCCCACCAAGCACCGCCAGCAGTTTCTCAGCGGTCTGCTGAGCTACTTCACACCTCTCCTGTGTATCCCAAAAGCATGAGGTGTTTTCACACCTAACTTGCAGACATCTTTTTTAACCTAGCAACAGTCTCTCTCAAATGGCTCAAATTCCAACTTTCTGCCATTAAGTCCTGTCTTATTCATACAGGCCATATCTGCCAGTCCGTCAAGATGAACACAGTAAGATCAGAAAGACCCCTTTTTTGTTGTTTTTAGAGGAGAGCACGAATGGGGGGAAGGGGCAGAGATTGAGAATCCTAACCAGGCTCCACACTGAGCAGAGCCCAAGGCAGGGCTTAATCTATAACCTTGAGGTCATGATCTGAGCTGAAATCGAGTCAGATGCCTGACTGAGCTACCCAGGTGCCCCAGAAGGAGCCTTTTTATCACCCCAGTGTGGAAAGTTTGCTTGGGTTTCTAATCTCTCATCAGATTCTTTCTGACCTAGAAATATTCAGCATGTATCATTTTTTGGGTAGTGAGTCTGAAAGTACTTACATTTCCTTATCTGTTCTCTCTCAGACTTCAAATGGTACACTGGGTCTAGTAGTTTCAATGTGAACAAATCTCTCCCTTCTCTTAAACTCTGATCACATTATTCAAACTATCTCCTCCCATCAGAACACTTGCTCTTTCCTACTATTCCAACCAGAATCACCTATTAATTTCTATCATTCAGTCCAAGTGCAGATTAAGGGCCAGTGGCCACAAAACCTGAAGGCACGGCTTCTGGTCTCACACACTTAAGCCCGACCCTTTCAGTCAGTGTCTGCCTAGAATGAAATGACTGACATCTGACCGAGGCCCACATATTCCCTTCTCAGTTCCTCTGGTTACAGACACCCCACTCCACTTGCCTACACCTTGTCCCATCCCACCTATGGCCTAGCTCATTTTCCACAGCGATAGCTTGCAGGGGTGTGGTGTATGTGGCTAACCTTCAGCACCATCCCTTCTTCCTTTCTTCATCACTTACTCTCCACTCCCTCCTGGGGTCAACAGTGATCCAATGGAATTTTGGACAAACTTACAAACTAAAGATATAAAGGCATATATCCTCTTATTTTATTGTAGTCCAAAAAGCTCATGGAGTTACTTTAGGGACACAGAGGACTTAATGGCACAGATTTAGGTAAAAAGCAAAATGCTCACCAGAAAAATAAAGTACTAACTAGATACAAGGGAGATTTGACCCTAGCTGGCAAATGTTTAACTCTGCAAATACTTGGAGTCATTAGTTATGTATACTTGTTTTATTCATAATCTGTAATGTTTTGGGATACCAAAAGTAACTCTAATAGTTGAATTTAACAAAATTTTTTAACCTCATCTTAAAACTTCCACTGATCCATCTCATTCAATGGCAATTTTCAATGTTAATAAGAACATAAAAACAAACATGCACACAATTGCACAGTTTTCATAAAGGTCTATTTCATTATTGGTGGGTAGCGCATTTAACAGTTAAATACATTTAAATAATGTATAGGTGACTGCACAACTGCAGCATTGGTAACTAGATAGATAACCGATTCAACTAGAAACCAGCTAACAAGTAACTGTCTAAATATTTAAAATACAGCTCTTGTTTAGATCATCCTTTGTTTTGATCACCTTCTTGGGGGGAAAAAGCCTGCTGGTCGGTCACACTGGAAATATATTAAGGCCAAATCTTCTGATATCCATTCCCAGAGGTTTCTTTCAGCTAGATTAAGCCTCCAACTCCAGGGCAAGCCCAAGTTTGTGGCCTCCAGCATTAATGCTCTTCCCATCTACCAGAGCAGACAGTGTAAGCTTGACACCTGTAAACAAAAGCAGGCAACTATGATTTGTCTGAACACCTCGCAAGTCTGCAATCTTTGATAGCCTGCCTGTCCCTCCTCAGCCTGTCAGATGACCTACTAGTGCCAGACACCAGAGGGCACTTAGGAGTATCAGAGATACAAGAGAATTCAGAAAGTAAAGAGATAAAGTCACAGAGCATAAAAATGTTAATAAAGTTCAAAGTGCTCTAGAAAATATAGTAATATTCAATATGCTACAAAGGAAAATCATAATTGGACTCAGGAAAAGAAAACTACAATAGAGAAGTGGGGGAAACAGAATACAGACTACATGTATAGACTATTATGTATTGCTAAATTAATGTTAATTTCCTTAGCTGTGACAGTGGTATTTAGTTAGGAAGAAAAATGTCTTAATCTCAGGATATGCATGTTAGGGCTGGTGTATCCACATGTCTACAAAACAAATAATTCTTAAAGGCATATAGAGAAAAAAAGGATTATGTATGCAGACATGGACAGAGAAAACACATGTGGTAAATGTTAACTGGTAAATGTGGCTAAGGGCATATGGGTGTTCTTCATACCATTCTTTCCTTTAGGTTTCCAAAAGGCCAAAATAAAGTCTGGGGGAAAATCCCTATTTGAAAGGGGGGGTGGGGGTGGGGGGGAATTCCAAGTGCTTTAGAACCTGCTATTCAAATGTGGTCCAAGAACCAGTAACACTGGCATCACACAAGAGCTTGTTAGAAAGACAGAACCCTTCATCCATATCTATGGGCTCAGAATCTGCATTTTGATGAGTCCCCGGGTGATTCATGCACAATAAAATTTGGTAAGTACTGCTCTAGAAAACATAGCAAGGCTCAAAATAGTACATAAAGTAAACGAGACTACAGAGACCAAACAAGGAAAGCAATGAGTTATGTCAGAGAGCACAACACTCCTGTTCTGAGTAGATGCATGCCGAAGCATTCAGGGAAGGGTCATGACAGCTCCAACTTCCAAACAGCCCAGCAAAAAAAAAAGAAAAAAAAAGGAATAAAAAAAATTGTGGCAAAAGATAAACATGTTCATTGTACTTTTTTTGAAAGGTTTACAAAGAAGCTGAGAAATAAAAATAATTTTTGAAACACCATCAAAAAAATCCTACGTATCAAGAACACTTACCAGGCCTCAGAGTCTGAGTATAGCCCACTCCAATTAAACTAGAGTTGTTGACTTTTGCCTAAAATAAAATACAAAAACAGCTGTAAACTTTTTGAATCTCTGGAGAGACAAAGGCCCTCCAGGTTTCCCTATCATGCAATTATGAAGTGTTCTGCTTTTTTATTCACATGTGAAATACTAAAATTCAATATTGTTATTAAGCCCAACAACAGCCAGGTGCCACTTAATTCTTATCCATTAAACTCAAAGTCAGATTATCAGTAGGACCCAATTTTCTTCATTGTAAAAAGGTGACAAACAACCTCTAGGATCAAAACAGATTTGGAAATTATTTGATGTCTACACTCTTGTAATATGTAACATCAAAACAGTCCAGTCCAGAGACAGAAATGATGTACCTACAAGCAAAAGTCACATAAACGGCACTTACATTCACTCGGCACACAGCCAAGCCTTCACTAGCCACCAATGGCCAAGTGAGCTATTGGTCTTAAGAAAGAAATGCCCCACTAGTGACCATCTTGTGCCCAACAAGCTAAGAGCCTCAGACAAAACTGGATACAAGTTTCTACTATTTCAGAATAGAAGTAAACCATCAAACTGTGATGGGCAATACTTCAGGGTGATGCTTGACTGGGGCACAGGGGCACTAGAAATGTTAGATGTATTTCCAAACTAATCCCCAGGAGTCACTCAATGGCACACAGGCCAAAGTTGCCTTCCCATTTTAGACTATGAGAGAGCTACATCAGCTGGCATTAAATCTGTGATGGTGCCATGGACATACATTTGAAAAGAGCAGCAGCGTAGCTACCAGAGGATAATGTGTGAATCCTAAGGTTTTTACTGCTACAGTGTAAGTGGAAACAGACGGGAAAAATAAATGAATCACCGCCTTGCCAATGGGAAAAGCATTCTGGGTGCTTCTCATTCTTTCTGCTTACAACTGCTATCATAAAATAAGAGTGAGGCTAAAGCTTAACTGCCTAAATTATCAAAACATTGTTCTCAGGAATGAAGACCACTTTACGTAACAGAAATAACTCTCGGGGAAGGTTTAACTTCCTTTCATTCCCAGTACATACAGTATAGGCAATGCCTGACCTGTAAGCAACTGACACACAGGAACAGCTGCTAATGTGCCTCAAATAGAGCCAGTGCCTTGCCTCTACACTCTCAGACACTGCACACCCTTCTACCCTAAACCCACTATGACTGAAGGATGAAATAGCAAAGAAGCAAAGCGACTGGGTAGCTCAGTCAGTTGAGTGTCCAACTTTGGCTCAGGTCATGATCTCATGGTTCACGGGTTTGAGCCCCCAGTCGAGCTCCGTGTGGACAGTGCAGAGCCTGGAGTCTGCTTTCGATTCTGTGTCTCCCTCTCTCTCTCTCTCTCTCTGCCCCTCCTCCTGCTCAAGCTGTCTGTCTGTCTCTCTCTCTCTCAAAAACAAAAAACAAACAACAACAAAAAAAAAAGCCTAAGAAAAGGACTAGGGTGGCTATCCACCCCAACTAACCAAGAACAGGTGGAAGGGAGTCCTTGGGATGCAAGACTTTTTTTTTTTAATGTTTATTATTTTGAGAGAAAGCGCAGGCGGGGAGAGGCAGAGAGAGAGGGAGACACAGAATCCGAAGCAGGCTCTAGGTTCTGAGTTGTCAGCACAGAGCCTGACACTGGGCTCAAACTCACAAACCGTGAAATTATGACCTGAGCCAAAGTGGAACACTTTGCCGACTGAGCCACCCATGTGCCCCTGGGATGCAGGACTCTTAATGCTAAAGCTGGAATAGTCCCAGGCAAAGCAGGATGAGCTAGTGGTCACCCTAGCCAGGAGGGAAATCAAAAGATGTACAAGTCCAATCCTGGTTCTATCCCTTCTGCTCTGGGCCTAGCAGTAAGGAAAGTCCTTTCTCTCTCTAAGCTTTGGGATCTCCACCTGCAAAACAGCATTTGTACCACAGACCCTGAAGATCAAATCTAAAGATATTTTGTTAACCATAAAGACAGAGTCCAACTAACATAGTACTACTATTTCCTATAGAAAGACAAAGTAACAATTAAAATGCTATTACTCCTGGCCTGGGGCCAAAACACTGGTTTACCTGAGCTTAGACAGGCTTGGAGCTCAGGGTTATTATCCACACTAACTGAGCAGCTTTTGAGGTTAAACAAACTCCTATGACCTGGTAACAAACTTCTAACACTGTCTCCACAGAAAATGTAGCATTACAAATTCTAATTCCAATCTAGGAGTAAACTAGGGATCCTGTGAACCACGGTTCAAACTTTCAATACAATTCAATCCACCCAAAGATGAATTCCCACAAGCAAAGAGCCCACTCCAAGCCCACAGCAGTACTCACAGAAATGGAAGCAGTGGGGTCCAACTGATATTTGGCTGCAATGCCAAAGCGAGTGCAGTTGGTACCTGATGTCCAAGCAAGGTTTACTGAAGTGTCAAGATCTTCACATACTTTCTGATAAATTGATCCTCCAAATTCTGTCCCATCATTGCTGTAAGATACTTTAAATTAGTAAATCTAAAACAGACACTGTAATGTCTACAGCACTAAGCTGATATTGTAGAATTATAGTTAAACAATGCTATAGTTATACTGCTCACATGGGTCTCTAGTATTCCACTGAAAACGTGTTTTAAAAGGTCTTTATTCCAATGTATGCCCCAAAGTAAGGTCATACAAATCATGATAAATCATTCAGTAGAATTACCACCCAGCCATTAATAATCATGCTGTAGAAGGCTACAATAAAATTATCAAAATGTATTAAGGTAGTATGGGAGGGATTATAAACCAGGCTTTGTAATATGTATTTTCTATATTTACATATAAAAAGAGAAAACTCCCAAACGTTATCAGGTAACAAAGATTATACATCTAGATGGCAGGATTAGGATTATGAGAAATTTTGGTCTTCTTCTTTGTACTTCTGCTATTTAATAATCCGTTGTTTTTATAAGGGAGAAAAATTCTTAAATCCTTTCAACATACATACCTAATTTGGGTTAGGTAAAAACACCATACATTTTAGGCCAATCCTACCAACTCAGCACCTCAGATATCACAGACAAGTCAAACATACTGGTAATTTGGCAACTCTTAGCCTTTTCTAAAACTCCAGAGCACATCAAACCTCATATAAATTAAACATTTACTCTCTCAGTACCAAAAGTCAGACTAACGTTTTTTACTATACACTTCTAAGGGCACCCGGAAATGCCTAAGGATGATCATCTTTTGGTGTTAAGAGAGATCCTTTAGGGGTACTGGGTGGCTAAGTTGGTTAAGCATCCAACTCTTGATTTTAGCTCAGGTCATGATCTGACAGTTTGTGAGTTTGAGCCCCTAGTCGGGCTCTGCGCTGACAGTGTGGAGCCTGCCTGGAATATTCTCTCTCTCTCTCTCTCTCTCTCTCTCTGCCCCTCCCACACATGCATGCACACACACTCTCAAAATAAATAAAGAAATTTTCTTTTAAAAAGGCAGAAATTCTTTTTTAAGAGAAATCCTTTAGATTGTACCTGGGTTCATAAGAAATGACAGGTGACATCAATACCACTCCCAGGTCCTATGTCCCCATAACCCACAAAGGAAATACTCACACATTAGTGTGTAGCTGGAAGTCCCCAGTCCTGTAGCCCACTGCAAAGTTGTTTCTTGTCAGCTTTGATTTGGCACTGTCAAAGGTCATCTGGTACCCAGCAAGCCAGCCCTCATAACCAAAGACAGCTGAACCATGGATTGCAGGTCCAGCAAAATCAAAGTCAACATCACAACCGAGGTTTATACACTCCCTCTTGTAAGAAGACTTGATTTTACCACTTTTCTTTCTGGAAAAAGAACAAGCTGACTTAAAACTGATGCCAGTGGGAAAGCCTTACACACTCAACCTCTGCACAGACAGCACAAGAGGGATTTATGAACTGCAGCACAAATGGGGAGTAAAAGCAGTAGCAGGATAACCCTAAGAGGTAAAGAAGATACAGCTCAGTGAGCTAGAAAAAACAAGGGAACATGGAGTTACTGGACTTCTACCACCATCAGAAGATTGCTTTTTGCACGACTGGCAATCAGTCACAAAAGCCTATTAGAAACATGTTAATTACCCAAGTTAGTGCCACAATGGGAAGAGGCATATATTTGAAGGGAAGCCAACAATAGCGACTGTAGTACTCATCATCTTCCAAAGGCAAAAACAGAAATTCACCACCACAAGGAAGTTAAGGAAGCTATCAAACAGTAAACGTGCACCTTTCCTAAATATACAGAAATACTTTTAAATTTAAAGCAGATAAAGGGGTGCCTGGCTGGCTCAGTTGCTAGAGCATACGACTCGATCTCAGGGTTGAGCTGAAGCTCCACACTGGATATAGAAATTACTTAAAAATAAAAACGAAATTTAAAGCAGATAAAAATGTCTGTACATGCTTACCCCGTGTTTGGTGAAAAGGTAGTATCAAATGTCAGTTTCAAACCTTGACAAATCTATTTTGAGAGAAAAAGAATTTGTTTTCATCATTATTTCCTTTTTGAATTACAAAAATAAATTAATACTAAAACACATGTTCAAAATGTTACCTGGTCTTCAATTGCTATTTCTGTTCCCAGAGTGTTATCAGTGTTCCATTTTTCTGTGAAAGTCAGACCATACTCACACCATTTATATTTGGTCTCCAAGGTTCCAGTAACTTTACCAGTGTCTGTGTTAGATGAACCAGATGTTGAGAATTCCTAGTAAGACAATAAATGACTTCATGAACTTTCTTGTAAGCCTAGAAGAATCACTGCCTAACTTACATAAAAACCTGCTAAAATACAAGAATTTCACTAATCCTTTTTTCTAGTTTCCCAAATATTCCTATCCTCTGCTACTGTGAGTACATACAAGAACAAATTAGCCTGTCAGTTACTAACTGCCACCTTACATACACTGGACATTTCCAACCAGTCAATCACAAGTTAACCTGTATCTAATTCTCAAATGAACAACAAACTGTAGACCTTTTAAGGAAACTTCCACTAAAGTGATTTTATTTGGAATTTAAAAATCAGGGAAGGTGGCAGGGAGGAATGAATGTTTTGGCACTGTTTCCTTTCTGCCTGATATTAAATAAAACACCACGAAGGTTAGTATGGTTAATCATAGATGCCCCCCATCACTAAAATGAGCATTTATAATAACTGACACACTATTAGGAAATGTTTCCTGAAAATTCCTACAACAGAAAGCACTCCAGTGTAGGAAGAATTCATGCCATGAGAAAAAATTTAAAATCTTTGGTAACCTCAATATTCTATTTTTCTGAGATGAAGTTTTCCTAAGATTTCATACCTTCCCAAACATCTTTCACATTCTCATTAAAAACGAAACAAAGTAGGAAAAGATTTGCTCTACAACTGGTTTTATCATGCATGATGTAAACTATATTATGTATGATAGATAATATCAGTAGAGAAAACAATCTAATACAGGTATTAATTTGAAGTACACCACATAATCTTATGTTTGCAGCAAATATAAGTAACTTGCCAATCCCTAATTGACACCAACTGGAAAGGAAGGCATAATATGGAGGGCTTACTGAAATTTACAATCTGCTATAGAAAATCCAAAAACCTAATAATCTTTCAAAGTTTATTATACAGACAGGCAAACTTCCAAGTTAAAATATTAAAATACCTACTGAGTGTTCTGATTCACAATTTGTCTGCTAATGATGGCTACACACTTTGGCCAATGGAAAGCCAAGTCTAAAGAAGACAGCTAATCTAACTAATAGAACTCAACCTGAAATTGTGATGCCTGCAAGAGTGAGGAAATATCAAAAATATATCAGTGGAAGAAAAGGCCAATCATCCCTCACTTAGAAAACAGAACATTTGTATAACTATTGCTCTGCAGCGAGATGGACTCAATCTCCTGACGTAAAATGCTTTAACAGGAATTTCAAGTCAAGGCTTGGCACTCAGTGCCCATACTAAAAAGCACTGGATTATCAGGAAAAAACACTGGATGTAAAATTTAAGAGTCCTGGCATCCAGTTCTGGCTGTCATTTAGTAAATGAGTAACACTGAAAAAGACACTTTTCTGGGTCTCAATTTCCTGTATTGTATTAACAAGATCTACCTTTGGAGGATTAAATTGGACTGGCACTGTGAAAGCTCTGCACATTTTCCTGTGCTCTACACAAAAGGAAAGCATTACTAAAACAATATATATGGAGCATGTTCTTCTAGCAAATCCTTGGAATGCTGAATGTGGAAGTAGCTATTTTTAATCCTGAGTGACAAAGACCAATGACTCTTGAGGCTCCACCCACTGCCATCCATCAGCCTATAGGTTATGAGCCAGCCTATATATATATGTGTGTGTGTGTATATATGTATCTATATCTATATCTATATCTATATCTATATCTATATCTATATCTCCAAGGAATCCTCAAGACACAAAATCAAGATCATCATGTGGGACCGTAATTGGACCAGATGACATCACTGGAACAGCTTACACCTTTCACTCCAACACCAAACACTTAAGGCTTCTACATTCTGGAGCAAACTGGACACCTCTGCAGTTTAGGTGAGAAAACAGAACTAGCTGTTAAAGGGACTTATCTGGGGCCAGGTACATACTACAAGAGCAGTACCACATTGAGTTACACATTAAATGGAAACAAAACATACTGTATGGAATCCAACCCGTATACATCCTTCTTGATCTTAAACCTAATTCTGTAAAGCGTTCCTTAACCACTGTCCACAAAAAGCCTTTTCTCTCCAACAAAGATTTTGATTAATCAATCTAGTACTAGATACACTTCTGATTGTTCTCCAGATTAAAGTTTATTTTGTCTCTCCAACCAGCAGTAAACAAGCTCTTTAAACAAGGATTGAGTCTTCATTTTTCTCAGAAGGCTTTTGTGATGCCAAAAGTGCACAGCAAGTGCTTATATAGGACTTCAAGAGGTTAAAGAGTGGGAACACAAAAACAAACACTAAGTCACTGCTCTGTACTATTACTCTGAGCAGGTAAGCTGCACAACCAGTGAACACTTGGGCTTCCTTACAGACCAAAGAAGCCAAATGACAGATGTGACCAATATAATACCCCTGAAATCCAAGTCTGTGCATTAAGAAACTACAATATGATCAATTTTAATAAATATCAGTTATATGCACTAAGGGAGCTAACAATTACAGCAAGAATTTATCAAAATAACCAGTTAATAGTCAGTATTCACACACATAACCATCCCCAAAGCAATCTCAAAACAGGGCAGCGCCTGGGTGGTTTAGTCAATTAAGCACCTGACTCTCGGTTTCAGTTCAGGTTAGGGTCTCACAGAGCTCAAGCCCTGCATCAGAGCAGTGTGGAACTTGCTTGGGATTCTGTCTCTCTACCCCTCCGTTGCTCATGCAAGGGTGTGCGCACGCTCCCACACTCTCTCTTCTAACAAACAAATGAATGAACACTGAAAAACAAAAAAGGCAGGGGGCACCTGGGTGGCTCAGTGGGTTGGGTGGCCGACTTTGGCTCAGGTCATGATCCCGAAGTCATGATCTCGCAGTTTGTGAGTTGGAGCCCAGCGCACGGCTGTGCTGACAGCTCAGAGCCTGGAGCCTGCTTCAGATTCTGTGTCTCCCTCTCTCTCTGACCCTCCCCCACTCATACACACGCTCTTGCTCTCAAATGGATTAACATTAAAAATGTTTTTTAAAAAGAAAAAGGAAAGTTATTTAACAGTTCATCAGGATTTTATTAGATATCTAACACTCACCACACCACTGCATGACTTTGTTTTCACATCCAGTTTCACCAACCCAAAACCTTCAAGTAGACAGTAAAAGAAAACAAAATGATTATTCTGTATAAAAAATGCATACCAATAGCTGAAATCACATAAAAAACAGAAAAACTTCATATATTCAGAGGAGCATAAAAATGTGGGTTGATACAACATTTAAATGAAAAGATTTTTAATTACTCTATGTAAACTAACATGTACAGCACAGAACATCTCATGCAGCTTTGCCTAGTGTTCTGGTGTATATATGGCACAAAAAATGGTTTTCAAACCATTTTAAAACCTAAATATCAGATCAGAAAATTAACTTTAAGTCTTGGAATAACCAATAGTTTATTGTAATACAGACATTTAGAACAATTATCCCAAAGAGATCTTCCTTTAGGATTAATCAACTAAGTAACTGGAAAAATAATCCAAAGTAGAGGGGGTGTATGTGGAACAAAATCTTCAAGAAAACCCAAACTCACTTGAAAAAATCCATAAACCACTAGGAATAACCACTGCCAAAGCAAAAACACTTTAAACATCATAATTCTAGTCACTCAAGACCTAAGCTGTATCTGAAGGAAATGAAAGCACAGCTGTTTTTTTCTTATAAATAAAATCCATGAACTACAGTTTGAAAAAAATTAGAGGAAACTGGGGTGGAGAAAGATGTGGATTGTTACTATTTTAACAGAAGTTTTATCTAAAATGTATCTAGTAAACAAACCAACACAGCAAGATATTTACAATTTGAAATAATTATTAACTTCCTCAAGCAATCCAAACACATTTTCACTTCTGATCGGGGCGGGTAAGGGAAAAAAAACAAAACAAAACAAACGGAAAGAAAAAAAGAATCTTACCAAATCCCTTGTTGAAAATATCTCTGGCAGCTTTGCCAAGGTCAGCATATGATGGAGGAATACACATTGCTGGTGGGAAGAAACATTCCAGTGTTAAGGTTCCTGTTCCCCCACTTTCTGTCCAGGAACTAGATTATCACCCACTGCTATCTTTAAATTGAAGCAGTCCAACTTGTTGAAGATGTTTTCTTTTGATACTACCAGGAGCTACACTAACTATATGTATTCTAATGATCCGTGAAAGAGATATCACCAATAAAGGTTTTTTTCTAAAATGAATAACCACAGTAAGTGGCTATATAAACTTGGGCAATTCCTTCTAAAACAGAAAAAACAGACTTTCTATTCTGAAATTTACACAGTATCTACAGCCTCACCTCTTAGGACCCAACTAGTACAAAGAACCAAACACATACACATAAACATATCTATACACACAGAAATCTCTGCCAAAATTCACTGGGATAGGCTGATTTAACCAAGTGACCTAAAACCAAAACCTGAAACAAGGCCCTCTCCCATAATAGACCTCTTAGTATCCTCCATGAGTTCGAAACCAATATTCTGGAGTGGGAAAAGACAGGTAATTAACACGTTAATTTCAATACTAGAATTTAGACAAAAACACAATAAACTGGGATTCACTCAAGTATCTACATCAACTAACTATCAAAAAGCACTTTAGGCATATTAATATGGCACTCAAGTCCTTGGCCAATGCTATGCGGCTTAAGGACAAGCAATCTGTGGTGGTTATACCAGCTCATTCATTCTACAGAGCACGTCCACGCCCTTAGGAGCACGTGTAATGACCTTGTGCTCTCACCAAGGGGGTTACTACTTCCTCTAAAAAAGTGACTGACCCAATCTTCCAAAGGCTGAATCCAGCAGTTAGTAACTTTTTGCTTTCGAGTTCGTCAAAGGCACGTTCAAGAGGTGGCGGTGATGCGTCCACAGACCAACTCCCCTGACCTAGTCCCTCTATCTGAAATCCCACAGCCCAGCCCCTCCTCCGCAGAGCTGAGGCAGTCAGACGGTGGAGCGGCTACCGAAAGGGGCGAGTTTCCAAGCCCTTGGAAAGATTAGGGGAAAGAAGGTGCGGTTTTCCGGTGGACAGGCTTCGACTCCCAGCCAACCCCGCCCCATCCCGCAGACATCTCTGCTCTACTTACGCCGCGCGCAGCTCTGTCCATAGGTCGCCATGGCGAAGCCACAGAAAGAGGTGATCTGCTGGAGAGACAAGAGGTGCGGTCAGCGGGGGTTAGGGACAAGTCAAGAGGCCAGAAGGGGGTCTCAGACAGGGAGGCGAAGAGCCGCGGGGCTGCGCGGCCATCTTAGGGAGCCAGGGCCGACCCCGAGTGTGGGTAAGGCGTCCTGCTTGGCCGTCGGGGCCTAGGCGGCCAAGAGACGCGACAGCGGCGTACCTGGTGCTCTCCCGGGAGGGGCTGCTGCCGCCGCTCTGCTCGCAGCTGAGGCCGCTCGGCTCGCTCAGGCTTGGGCTGCAGCTACCGCGGCTGGAGGGCGAAGTGAAGGAGACACCGTTCCGCCCGCCGCAACCCTGTCCTCCCCCCGCCAGGACCCCGCCGATGCCCCCGAGGCTGTCCGCCGCGCCGGCCCCCGCAACGCCGCCCGCTGTCCACTCCAACCTGCTTCAGAACAGCCACGAGGGCCGAAGACACACCCGGCCCCGGGGTGGGCTGCTTCTGTCCGTCGACGGGGGCCGGAAAGGCAGAGGCTGCTGGACCTCGGGTCAGGCAGCGACGAGGGCAACCCCAGAGGAGAGGGGGCGGGGAACGGCGGAGGCAGCGCTGTAGGGACTGCGCGTGCGGGGAATGGGGCCGAGGCCCGGCGCGCGCTCCTCATGGATGGGGTGGGGCGTCAGGCGCGCACCCGCGCGGGACCCGGCGCCACTGGGCGCGGCTGCGCAGCACGGGGGTCACGTACGATTCTCCAACTTCCTTCCAGGGGTGTGTTTCCCGTTCCCTGCAGAGACCGTCTCCGTGCAGGGCGTCTGGAAGGAGTTAGCTAGCGTTACCCCGGCCTAACCTGAGCAAGTGCAGCGTGCGCTTCTGAAAGACTCTCTCCAGGCCCAGGAAGAACGAATGGGACACTGGGGCGCCACCTCCAACGCCACCCGCACTCACTGCCTTCGCCCACCTCCCATCGCAGAGGCCGCGGTGGGAGGGCCAGCCCAGAACCAAGTGGAGCCGGCCTCAGGGTGCCCCGCCCCTTTTCCTCGCTTCTAGCCCTTAGGGTTCCTCTTTTGTCGCCGCCTCCTGGCTTAGGTATAGGACAGCTTTGTACACGCACCGAACCGGAGCTGTCTTGATGAGTCAAGCCTGCTAGAAAATTTAGGAATCTTGCTGACAAGGCAGTAGAATGTTGCGCTCAAGTTCCTTGAGTGTGCTGGAAGAGTGAGGGAGCTAAGAGAACAAGAAAAAATGAGCCTTCTAATGAGATAGAAATAAGGTCAATTGAAGTCCCAGAATCCATCAGCAATCTCAGCATTTTATCCTTACTGTATCTGAGTTTCCTCATCACTAAAATGGCAAGTTTAAAGGAGACGAAGTGGTCTTTAGTAGCCATTCAGCCGCACACAATGAGGAGAGCCTCCCAACCCCCATCCCCTCTGGCTCTGAAAGCCACCTCTGCTCAACTCAAATGCTGCTGGAAGTTCCACCCTCCTCCTAAACCAGACGGTAACCAGATAGAGATTTCCACAAGGCAAACCCAGATTGAAGGTGCATCCTGAGGGACTCCCTCCCATGTGTAAGCTCAGCCATAAAACTTGCCTGGTTATGGTTGGAACTACTCCTGTAACAGGTTAGAAGAAAGGAAGAGTCTTTGCTCAGGCACCAGAAACACTAATTAATGCCTTCATTCAAGCTCAGACAGGTTGCGCCGAAATAGCCTGGTTCTACTGGGAACTTGTTTGCTTTGGCTGCGCTTGATGCTTTTGTGAAACTAATAGCAAAGACTGATGCCTCATCCCAAATGCAGCCTGACACGCCGCCTTCCTGAAAAACCTAGTCTGTGCTCAGCCACCTCCATTACCTGCAATAGGGCTTATTCACAATGTGAACTATCTGTAGTATTTTTAACCCCCAGAGAATTTCACTGTGCCACAGAACACAGACCTTAGGCTTTAGTTTAACCTCCAGGAACCCAAGGAATGTACAGAATACCTAATGACCAGGAGAAGAGTCATGGCAATTTATTTCAAAGTTGTATTCAGTAAATATATTCCAGTGCTTTCATTCAAAGCCCCTTAGAAGCAGCAATAGTAGCAGCCACCACTATAAGCAACTACCTTGTGTCGCCCACAGGGGAAGCAAAGTACACTCAGCTGCACTTCCTGCTCTCAGGGCACTCACGGTCAAGTGTGTGTAGAGGTATCCAGAACTGTGAAGCGTCCAAGATTTTACTCCACTCGCAAGCTAGCAAGTTAGTCTACCATAGTTTTATAGGTTCATAAATGCTGGCAGAAGACATGAGACTCAGTCAGAGACAAAAGACTTTATTACTTGTGGCATGGCAAGCAACACAGGTTCATGTTTGAATTAGTTCCCCTTGCCCTCTCTGTCCCCAGGGGTGATGCAGAACAGCCCATGTGGAAGCTGTGCACAGTAAGTGTTTGTGTCACAGCTGAGGACCTGAATTTAAGAAATCTGTTTTACAAAAAAAGAAAAAGAAAGAAAAAACAAACCTCCTGTTTCACAAGCCGCTGCCGCAAACCTGCCCAACCTCTTCACTCTGCCCCAGACAGAAACACTATCTCTATCTTCCAAGGCTGTTCGCTATGCAGACATCCTTGAAAAGATAGTTTGGGATAAAAGAAGTCATAAGACCTGGAGAACCTCCATGGAGAACTGTCCCACAAAAAAGGATAGGGAATTCAGGAATTGCAAGTACAGTGCTAAATGCAAGTACAGAGATTTGTGGGCATAGTCACACTGAAAAGACACTTGCCCTAAAGTCTGAAAGGAGAACTTATCAAAATTAAAAAGCCAATAGGTCAAGGGTGGAAACCTAAATTCTAGAAAGAGACATGTGCAAAGCCATACAGGTACTTCAAGTGGCAAGAATCACTTGGAAACCACAAGTAATTAAGTAAACCTGGAAAAACCTACAGGAAAAGTTGAAGATGTTGGGTGGAGTCAAATGCTGAAGGTCCTGAAAGCGGCAAGTGAAGAGGAATCTAGGATGGCTGGGAGCAACATTTCTGACCTGAGCAACTGGGAGAACAAAGGTTCCACTCAGTGTTGTGAGGGCTACAGGAGGAGGGTCAGGTGTGAGGATGGAGGATGAGGAAGAGAGAGGAAAGATGATTCTGTTTCAGATAAGTATGAGGAACCAGGGGCCACATCTGAATAGAGCTATCCAGTAGGCAATTATGAAGCCTAGGAGAAAGGTATAGGTAGGAGATACTGGAATGAAAATTTTGGTTTTAATTAGGACTATCCTTGGGTGTGATTAAAGTCAATAAGTGATGGGATAGCAATAAAGATAGTAGAAGCCTTAGCAGTGTTGGTATTCCAGGGGTGAACAGACTGGCCAGGAGGCTAAAAGAAAACCTAGGAGGGAATACTTCCTGGAAGCCAAAGGGCAAGAGCAGTGACTGGACGGTGCTCTGCAAGAGCAGTGACTGACGGGGAGAGTGCTGGACGGTGTCACATCCTGAGGAGTGGTCAAGTGAGGCAAAGAGTATTAGCTTCTCTTAGCTACAAATTACCTCAAAACTTAATATTTTAAAACAACAAACATTTTATTACCTGAAAGTTTCTGTGGGTCAAAAATTGGCTTAGCTGGGTAGTTCTGGCCCAAGGCCTCCCACTGAGGCTGCAGTCAAGATACTTGCTAGGGCTACAGTCATCTGAAGGGTTGACTGCTATAGGATCTGCTTCCAAGATGGCTGCCTCATATGGCTCTTGGCAAGAGGCCTCAGTTCTTCACTATGCGCATCTGTCCATAGGGTTGCTTGAGTGTCCTCATGACATGGCAGCTGGCTTCTCCCAGAGCAGGTGATCTAAGAGAGAGAGGCCAAAGCCACAATGTCTTAGATGATCCAGCCTCAAAAATCACACTGTTGGGGCACCTGGCCGGCTCAGTAGATACAGCATGTGACTCTTGATCTCAGGGTTGTAAGTTCAAGCCCCACATTGGGCACAGAGCCTACTTAAAAAAAAAAAAAAAAAAAAAAAAATGGATTCCGAAATCATGCTGTCATTTCTGCCTTATTCTGTTTATTAGAAGTGAGTTATTAAGTCCAGTCCATGCTCAAGGGGAAAGAAATTAGACTCCATGTTTTGAAATGAGTGTCAAAGAATTTGTGGATATATTTTAAATTATGACAATCAATGCTCTTGTCACATTATTTACATTTCTCCTACATGGAAAATATATTAACTCCCTCTGAAGATCTCCCCCAAACCTCCAGCCTTTATAGCATTAGCAGAAATCTTCCGAAGTATATTTCCTTAAGTACAGCAACTCCAGTACAGTTCCTCTTGATCTGAAGACTTATGAACCAAAGAGACAAGCTGTCTACCCCCAACACATACACACTTTCAGTACACATGGGGTAGGATAGGCACAGGATATCTAACTGCTAAAGACACCCCTGGTCAAAAAGGGAGAAATAGGACATATACAGGAGTCCATAGCAGTTCTGAAATCCAGCCAGGCAAATTTTGACTGTTTCTCTATTAGGACTCAGTCCTATTGTTGCCTGTGCCAGATGAGGTCACATAGGGAGAGACAGCCTTAGATTCACATGTCTTCTTTTCCTGTCCCAAGCTCTGTCCCATTATGTGAAGGGTACACCCCAGCTCACACTTCTACTCCATCCCCCTTCACATACACACACTCCTTGACCACTTCTGTGGGTTCAGGGGTATGTCACTGGCAGTTCAATCCATGCTCAAGAGAAAGGACTCTGGGGAAGAAATCCTTACAGTCCCCAGAAGCAGGCTGAGAACTGTTTCAATGGGGAAGACAGATCTTCTGTATCCAGAGTTTGGTCCAGCTATGGAGAAGGTGAGCATGGTAGGCATGTTTCCTTGGCCCTGCAGACTCCTCACCCCATAGAAATAGGTACAATCTGAGGAGGGTTTGAGGGCGGCTTTCTAAAGTATGAGGCCCAGGGTGGGAGGGCCCTTTTGCCCAGGTCTAAGGACAGCACTGGGGCTAAGGACTGGGAACCTTCATATGACTGAAACAGACATTTATTGTGATGAGAGAGAAGGAGAGCCAGGATGGTAAGCTGTGGTTATGGTTAGAATGTGGGACGTTGAGATGTAAGGTTTAGCAGTGGAGCATTCTGGGTGGTGAGGAACCAGGGAAGAAGGTGGGGTGGAAGTGAAGTTCACTGGAGTTGAGGTCAAAGATGACAGGTGAGGCTAGGTTTTTGAAACTAACCACCCCACACACACTCAACATGCAATGGTGAGATAGGCACAGGTTGTGGCAGGGATACTGAAGCCACCAGGATGTTGCTAGGATAAAAGGTAGAGAGGAAAACTGGGGAGTCAAGTGCCAAAGTCCTCAGGGAACACAGGGGAGTAGCCAGGAAGTTAG